CAGAGCTTACATATCAACTGTCTGGAAAAGAAAGCAGTTGGTTTGGCCCTGAAAGCTTTTCTGTCAAACCTCAGGGGTCACCACGTCTTGGTCCGTACAGACAACATGTCTGTGGTGGCCTACATAAATCGCCAGGGTGGCATCAGGTCAGGCAACCTGTATGCTATGGCGAGGGACCTCCTCATGTGGGCACAAGCCAATCTGAGCTCTCTGAGAGCAGCGCATGTCCCGGGCGTCCAGAATGTGGGCGCGGATATGTTCTCAAGGGGCAACACTCCCCTAGGTGAGTGGTCCCTGAACCCTCAGACGGTCAGACTAATATGGGAGAGGTTCGGCGAGGCCGAAGTCGACCTTTTCGCCTCGAGAGCCAACACCCACTGCAGGGTGTTCTTCTCGAAGAACAGGGATGCGCTGGCTCATCTCTGGCCCAGCCGCCCCCTTTATGCGTTTCCCCCCGTCTCGATGATCCCACAGGTTATCGAGCGGGTCAGGGAGAGCGGATGCCCAGTCCTTCTGGTGGCTCCTCTCTGGAAATCCAGACCATGGTTTCCGGAACTGGTTCAGTTGTCAGACACGACCCCCTGGCCTGTTCCGATGAGGAAGGATCTCCTCACACAGGCCAACGGAACGATGTGGCATCCCCGACCCGATTTATGGGCCCTCCATGTGTGGCCCCTAAACGGGTATCCGGGGACCTTCCTGACAGGGTCTTAAAGGGTCATGAAACCCCAAACCAGATTTTATCAGAGGTATGTGTTGAACACCATTGAAGACAATGTTAGCATCAGTTAGATTTAATAGCAGGGTTAAAATGGTTAAATTTGAGTTTTTTCCCGCTTTTTTTGTCTTCCGGGTTTAAAATCTTCATCGTGTCCACGTCACAGGCTGTGACGTGGCAGTGCACTGTGAGTGCGTTGATGACTCATCGGTGTCTCATAATTATTAATGAGACTGAGTTTTCATATCCTATGAGAAGACACTGTCTCTTAATTATTCATGACACCACGTGGATCTTTCCAGTGACATGTCAAACTGTGATATCGCGTAGTAGATGAGAGAGGCAATCATGGGACGCACGCAAGTGTTTGTTTTCGTGGTGCAAAAGTCCAATTGGGTTGAATATGTTTCCCCGCGATGCTGCCCGGGCTAGACTCTGGCTCTGGGCGGTTGGTTTTCCATCAACCACGGACACATCTAAACGTGTGTGCCTCAAACATTTTTCGAGAGAGAGAGCTTCGAGAATTGGAGAATGGTGGACTTCGCCTTGTTGACGACCAATGCAGGTTGCGTCTTGCGAGTGATGCGGTACCAAGTCCCGAGGACTTTTCTATCCCTTCAGAGGTGTGTGTGTGTGTGTGTCAAAAAATGAGACGTCATCCACCTCCACAGAGCCATCTTTATTATGGGGGTTCAGGGGGCGCGTAGATCTAGCTATGCACGTAACGTTTTTTTTAAGCGGAAAATTAATAATTTTCAAATATATGTATTTATAGTGTCTATATAAACAACTATATATTTTATAATAACATTATAATTATACATGTAGCCTACATTAATATGTTCTCAATAGAATTATGATTACTGTAGGCTAATATAGCAGGGCATTCAGTTACTTTTGAAAGGACAATAATAAAGTGTCGTATTTCATTAAACTTTAACTTTGCCAGCTATAAAAAAAATCTAGCATTTCCTCACGTTTTACCACTGCTTTTAGTGACAGTCGATATGCATGGGATACTGGCGATGACAGTGATGGCCATACCACACCCCTTCTCACAGCCATCCACGCCCATTTAAGTTGCATTTTTCAAAAAGATTGTGAGCTAGACTTCAGCTGAAAGAGGGGGGTTTCATGACCCTTTAAGCACTATCTATGAAGCAAGGGCCCCGTCTACTCGGCGCCTTTATGCTTTAAAGTGGTCGGGTTTTTCCAGCTGGTGCTCGAGAAATCGTATTGACCCAGAGTCATGCGAGGTTTCGGTGGTGCTCTCCTTCCTGCAGGAGGTACTGGACGCGGGCCGCACCCCGTCCACGCTCAAAGTGTATGTGGCAGCCATCACAGCGCATCATGCTCTGGTTGCTGGCCAATCACTAGGAAGGAATGACCTGGTGGTAAAGTTTCTGAAGGGTGCTAGGAGGATTAACCCCTCCAGGCCCCCTTCGGTGCCGCCTTGGAACCTCTGCACGGTCCTTAGGGCCCTGAGGGGACCACCTTTTGAGCCGCTCCAGTCGGTTGATCTAAAACCACTTTCGCTAAAGACTGCTCTCCTGTTGGCATTGGCATCTATCAAGCGAGTGGAAGATCTGCAGGCCCTCTCAGTGAGTCCTGCATGTTTGGAGTTTGGATTGGATGACTCCAGAGTCATTCTCAAACCCAGGCATGGTTATGTGCCCAAGGTGCTCTCAATGCCGTTTAGAGCACAAGTTATTACGCTATTAGCCCTTCCCCCTTCTGCTGAGGATGGGGAGGTTAATCTTCTCTGCCCTGTCAGGGCGTTGAGAATCTATTTGGAACGTTCCTAGTCTTTTAGACAATCAGAACAGCTGTTTGTCTGCTTTGGGGGCCGATCTAAGGGTGATCCAGTCACTAAGCAAAGACTGTCTAGATGGATAGTGGATGCCATCTCTTTGGCCTACACCGCAGTGGGTCAGTTTTGCCCCATAGGTGTCAAGGCCCATTCGAACCTTGGTCTTCTGGTTTTCCCATTCAAGATATTTGTGATGCGGCCGGCTGGTCCTCGCCTTCCACATTTATGAAGTTCTATAATATGGAGGTACCTTCCCTGCAGGCGAAGGTGCTTTCGGTATGATTGAGACCTGACAGTGGCTGGTCTTATCTACAAAAATTACTGTGCATAATCACATACATATTTATATAAACCCGCTTCGGCCGGTAATAAGGTTATACTAATAATCCCGACGGTGTCTGGTTTTGTTAGTATATTCTGTTAGTGGTTACTGACTTATATATATATATTATTCAGACCCGACTGTGTCTGGTCTGTTATATATACATGTATATGCATATGTTATTGGGTTCTGGCTTGTTCTGTTAGCTCAGGGGTCCTGAGTGGCAGGACAACCAGTTACTCAGGGTGCGGCGTTTTGCATGGTGTCCCCACTGCGTATAGCTACGCAATACGAAGTGACCGTTCGAAAGGGAACTACTCGGTTACTATCGTAACCTCAGTTCCCTGAGATAGGGAACGAGTATTGCGTAGCCGGCCGCACTATGGTAACTAGTGAAGTTGTCGCTTCAGTCGTATAAACCTGCTATAATGGCGAATTCGGGGGTATATATAGGCTGGGCCATGCCCCCTCGACGGGCTCTGATGTTGGGCTAGCTTATTGGTCGTGCGTCAGATTCGCCCGCGCCATTGGATGTGCAGTTGCTGCAGCACAGCCTATGAGCGGGTCAGACGCTCAGTGTGCTAGCTGTGCAGCTGCAAATGCGTTTTACATATAGGCTTCAGTAAATCGAGGAAAAGGAGTTTCCCCACTGCGTATAGCTACGCAATACTCGTTCCCTATCTCAGGGAACTGAGGTTACGATAGTAACCGAGTAATTTTCTAAAAATTTCTCACTGTTGACAGAGAACATTTATCTGTTTTCCCTCATATAGCTGCTATAAACTCGCTGAGAAGAGCGCAAAACTGTCTATATATGTCAAATATCCCTGCTGAAGCGACAGGTTTTTTCTCAAGAATATATTTTAAGAAACTTTACTGTTGTAAACTCGAGTTGTTCACATGTTTGTTACACAGGCAGTTCATCAAACACAGCAGCTGACTGAGACTCTTCCTCCCCTGCCCTCTGGCGGACTGTTTTAAAACAACACGCTCACGCACAGATTTATAAAATTGTTCTAATCAAGCGTGCCGCACAAGCCCTCAAAAGTGAAGCCAAAACGTCTCGATCGTCCCCTGGTGACCGGTCCTAGTATAGGTCATAAGCCCCGCCTCCCCATGTTATTCAACGGGATGTGAGACCAACTAAATAATTAAATTACACTTCACATATCTTTTTTCTAAAGATAGTTTCTGTCATTTACTGTAGTTTATATCACGTTGATGTAATTTCAAGTGTTTGTTTTTAAAATAAGTTAGTTTTTAGTTAGTTATTTGATGCTATAAAAACAGTGCAGTGACATCTTGATTGACAGCTGTGATTGACAGGTTCTCTGTGCGAAGTAGTCACTGAAGCACCAACGGACTTTTTTTCATAATGTTGACTATGTGGTTAGTAGTTGTTTTACCTTATTTTAACGAGGTACTGCAATACTAACGAGGGCCTTGATTTCGCGGCTTTACTTCCTGCTCACGACTGCGCTGGTCTGGTCCCGAGATCGCTACTGCGCAGACTCAAGTTCCAATATGTCAGCGCCATATCGGGACACTGGCGGCTTCAGTTATCTCCAATGGAAAAGAGCGAAGGGGCGTCGTCCATATTTTTTTACAGTCTATGGTTCTAATAGTAGAATATCCTAAAATATATATTTTGAGAAGAAACATGTAACATCAGCAGGGATTCTGTTGCGACTGCGAGTTTGTTTGCGCGGCCCTTGTTTTAATTTCCCGGAAGTGATGTAGGCGATGATGCGTGATTTACGTTACTGTTTCTTTTTAATAATAAAACCGATGAAAAACAATATTTTTCAAATAGTGTATCCCAAAAGGGTGACTTGTCTAACCTTTTCTTTCGATTTGTGTTTCAATAATCTTATCATCGAGTTCTTAAAAGTTGATTTTGAACATCTGTTGTTCCATTGGCTGGTGGACGCTTTTGTTGCATCACGGGAAATTGTTCGCAACAAAATAAAACAAAACAATATATTTTTGTTGTTGCTACTGCTGTTAAAAGCTCGATAAACAGCTAAACTTTAATAGAAACGCGCGGAAACATGAATCTTCATCCAGTTGCCGTTGACTCGTATGGAGTGACGTGTCCCTCACCGTCACCGAGACTCGTGTTTGCTGAAGTCAGACTCGCTAAAGAACTCATACTTACCTGGCAGGGGAGACACCATGATCACGACGGTGGTTCGCCCCAAGGCGAGACTCAGACATTGCACACCCGGCTCCGTTGACCTTTGCGAATTCTTCACATGCGGGAATCTCGACTGTAAAATTTATGGTAATGGGTAACTGCGTTCGCGCTCTCCCCTGATCATATGGTTAAAGAAAACAGTACATATATCGGGGGAAATTAAGTACCCAGATAGCAAACTGACATTGAATCAACGTGGAAACGACGTTTCTCATGACATCGAAACAACGTTGATCTCCGACGTTGATCCGGCATCGTTTTGCTCATCGAATTAACGTTGAATCAACGTCAGACGCGCCATTCAAAACTAACGGAAAATCTACGCAATTGGTTTGCTTTCCTAACGTTGTAACGATGTTGATTTTAAGTTGGTTGAAACGACGTTATAGAATCAACACATATTCAACATAAAATCGATCAAATTTGTTTGCTTACCTAACGTTAAAAGGATGTTGATTTCAGTTGTGTAAATAATGTTATACATTATACATAAACATATTTTCTATACTTGTTTTAAAAATCTCACACTTAATTATAATTTATAAATTAGTCTGTAGGAAATAATTTATTAAACACACATCACATTCAGTTAACATTGATTTATTATTTATAGAAAATATACATTTACAAATACATTTTTAGAGCATACAAATCTTCTGTATACAAACCCTTTATATAAGATAAACTAAAATAAACTTAAAGCAAATTTTACTTAAAGGTTACAAGTTTGCATCCCTCAATATTCAGTTGTTTATCTTCCTTTGAGATAGCCTAAGTGCATACAGTATTTAACATGTATTATAGCCTATCTAGTATTATTATGGCAAAACGACAGTGGAATTTGTAGAGAATATTTCAGTAAAGTCATTAAGAATTTTTTTACATAGGAGTTTATTTTTATTTTCCTCTCACAAACATATAAAAGTCCTTTTCAAAATCTTCATTTCAGGTGCACAAATCCTACAAATCACAAATTAAGAAACTCATAAGCTATATAGAGAACAGTACAATATTGGCCAATCAGGCACATTCCTTTGTGTATGCTTTTGTAAATCTGTCTTACAATCTACTAGCTACGTTCTGCCTTACGAACAAATGGTGCAACGGAATAAAGTACAGAGTTAGTTACAAACTAGCTACTAAGCCTCTAGTGTGGACTTTACGTTCCAATTTAAGAGAGAACTTACAAACGGGCCACGGCTGGTGCAACCTATTTTTTACAGTCTATGGGTGCAACCTTACCCAGTTCACGCGTTGGCGCCTCAGTGTCCTGAATATATTGTCAACTATATTTGCTTCTTATTTATTAATCCAGTCAATTTGTTGATGAAACATTGATTAAAATTAAGATAGGCCTATAACGCCCCCGCCCACTGCTCTCACGAGTCATGACTGAGTGATGGGGAAGGTCGGATCCTTTTACTGACTCTCTTGTTCGATCTGGTTCCTCAAAATGAACAAATCTTTATTCGAGTCATTTCGTTCATTTAAGTGGCTTTAATGTTGGCCTATACTTTTAACAGCCAAATTCCCCGATCACATCCACCTACGCATTGTTGATCATATTCTGAATTAAGAAATCATTATAATGCAGTCAAAAATGATTTACAGGGAACACAAATAATTACTTTACCTTCCGAGTCTTTCGTTCATTTGTCACATGACATAGGCCTACGCAATTGTTCATGAATCACCCATCTACTGCAGGATGTCTAAACGACCGAAATGATCAAGTTGCGAATATAAAAAGAGGAGACTATTGAAGGAGAAAGCACACCAACAACAGAGGGGTTCTCTTACGAGAGTATCTCTCGTACTGCGTAATAGCTTACGCTAGGGGAAAAACTCTTTTCCGCGAGATATTGAAGCCAAAAATTATCCTTAATTTTTTATTAATGTAAAACGCTTTGCAGCAGCAAGCAGACATAGGCGAAACAGCTCGCGTGCCTATTGGTTGCTCTGCAGCAAATGCAGCAGCCTATCGAGAGAGACTCTGCGTGACGTAATGACCAATGGGGGCAATTCGCGCCCATATCGTCACATCCCGCCAGAAGGGGCGTGGTCTCACCCTATAAATATGCTCGTTAGGCTGATACAAGCTGATTTTTACCTCTTCAGCGAAGCACATGCATCGCTGGATCCGGAGTGAGAAGCCGCGCCGTCGAAGCAAGCCTTTCAGCGGGACGAGCTCTGGAGTCGCTGGCCTCGCCGCCTTCAACTGCCGTACCTGCTGCGCTTTCCGGCGTTCTATATCCTTTCATACTCTGTGTGTATTTACTCTGTTGAGAGTGTTTGCTCGCTTACTTGACGCGACTCACACTTCTCTCACAAAAAGAGCTGCGTCTTTTTAAAGATGCCTTCCTGTGGCTCGTGCCGCGCCCCGCTCAGCGATGGAGACCGGCACGTCATCTGTGTTTCCTGCCTGGGTGAGGATCACGCGGCTCTCGCGCTCGCTGACGGCGGATGCCCTCATTGCGAGCTTTTGCCTATGGTGACTCTGAGGACTCCCCTGGCATCATTCTCCGAGCCTTCACCGCAGCCCGCCGTGGTGCCGCGCCGCAAGAAGCGCCGCGCCCAGCGCGCTCCCGAGCTTTCTCCAGCCCGCCAAAGCTCGCCGGTTCGCCCGCCAGCTTCGCCGGCTTCGCTCGAGTCGCTCACTGACGGACAACGGCCGCCGCCTGCCGCCGCGTCCATCCACGAGTTTGACGAACCCACCGAGGCGTGTTCTCTTCTGGCATCCGATAGTGAGGATTAGGCGAGCTCCGTACATCTCCCCTCCGCTAGCGTTTCCCGCCAGCCCACTGGTAAGAGAGCCGGCATTGAGACTGAGCTGATGCGTCTGCTCTCTCAGGCCGTGGAAAGCATCGGCCTCGATTGGGAGGCGCCCGCGCAACCGCCGCGCAACAGGCGAGCTCTGTGGACCTCCGCCTTCTGTCCGCGAGTCGTCAAGGAAACGGGCCAGCATCAAGACCGCGAGCCCTAAAACCGCGGCTAGCTTTCTTTACGTTATAAGAAATCTACCCCGCCCCCCAATGGGCGTGCGTCACCGGCAAATGAGAAAAGAGTGTTTTTTTAGTCCCCGCCGAGGCCGGACTAATCTCCATTTCTTTAACATTTCTCAGCTCCTAGTTTGAGCGGCTGAAAATGTCATTATTGCAGCAATGAGCCTGTTGTATGACACGCACACCTGCATACAAACGCCGACACACACAAAACTGTGATGACACTCTCTTATCTGCTTGTTCTCCCTGTGGCCCAGTGGCGGAACCCTAAGCTTTCACGCGGGAGACCCGTGTTCGATCCCGGCTCTCGCAGCATATAAAAATTTAGTCTCGCCGCGGCCAGACTTCCACCAAAAACTTTTCGCTCGTTCAGTTCCAGAAAATGCGACTGTTCCAGTGTATTTTGCAGTAAACAAGCTGGTACCACGGCCCGCTTGCCTGCACATAAAGGCCGTTTCCACGGCAACCTAGAAAAATCATGTGATCATTGTATTTCTGGTTTTCCGGCCACAGCCGATGGTGTTATAAGTGTAATAAAATGCTCACAGCCCAGTGTTCATTTCTACACACAAACACAGCCCGCCACGGTACAGGGCTCACACAAATGAAATCGACGCATGTCAATTGTGCATTAAATGTAGTGAATGTGCCCACAACCCAGTGCCCACAAACACTACCACGGTTTCTGTAAAACGAAACCAATACAAGTCTTCCTAGCCTCCTAGGAAATCGACGGTGTTTCAGTCTCGCCGTGGCCAGACTTCCACTGAAATTTTCGCTCGTTCAGTTCCAGAAAATGTGACTGTTCCAGTGTATTTTGCAGTAAGCAAGCCAGTACCATGCCCGCTTGCCTGCACACAAATGCTGTTCCCACGGCGACCCAGATAAATCACATAAATGGTGTATTTTCTGGTATTCCGGCCACAGCCGATGGTGTTATGAGTGTATTGAAAATGCCCACAACCCAGGGCTCATTTCTACACACAAACACAGCCCGCAAAAATGCAGGGCTCGCACAAACAAAATCGCCTCATGTCGATTGTGCACTAAATGTAGTGAATGTGCACTACACACCACATGTCCCACGGGTTCTGTGAAAACGAAACCAACACGCATTCAGTCAGCTCAGGCCGACGGTGTTTTTCAGTGCAGTAAATGTGCCCGCTGTCCTGCGCCCACATTCACTCACAGACATGTTAAGCCCCACGGGGCTCGCCCCGCTCTCTTTCCCTCAGCAAACTGCTATAAGGGTTTTGAGCGCGGCCAGGCTGCCCGCCGCGATCGGCGCGCCCCCCGCCTCACACACTGTAAACACAGTGTCTGCGTTACAGCCCGCCGGAGCTCTCTTGCCGTCACTATGTCTCGGCCAGAGCCCAGATCTCAGATCTCATTCTACCCCTAGCTATTCACGCGAAAGTGTGGGCACAGCTTCCTGGGGTATCGGAATGGGTGCTGAACACTATAAAAAGAGGCTATTCGCTACAGTTCGCTCGACGTCCCCGCCGTTATACGGCGCGCGTCGAGACGACGGTGGAAAACGAAGTATCTCGTCTACTTCGAGCCGAGATAGCGAAACTACTGAGCAAAGGTGCTATAGAACCTTTATCTCAAGCTCAGAGCAAAGGGGGCCTACACAGCAGATATTTTCTGGTACCGAAAAAAAGATAGAGGTCTCAGACCCATTTTAGATCTGCGACAGCTGAACAGAGCGCTTGTGAAGCGCCAGTTCAGAATGCTTACGACCAGGAAAATCCTCCCGCAAGTGCGCCACGGGGACTGGTTTATGTCAATAGATCTGAAAGACGCCTATTTCCAAATACAAATAGCGTCCCATCACAGGCGATTCTTGAGATTCGCTTTCGAGGGCCAGGCATATCGATACACAGTCCTGCCGTTCGGCCTGTCCCTAGCACCTCGTACATTCACGAAGTGCATGGACGCGGCGCTCGCACCCCTGAGACTTCAGGGCATGCGAGTCCTGAACTACTTGGACGATTGGCTGATTCTAGCTCGATCACGATCGGAGCTCATAGAACACAGGGCCGCATTACTCGAGCACCTCGAGGAGCTGGGCCTCACAGTCAATTGGGCGAAGAGCTCACTGTCTCCCAGTCAGA